CCTACCTCCTTCGTCTCTCCTCCCACCTTTCATCTGTGCATGTGTGTACGGGATCTGGGTATCTTCTATGCATGACCCAGACCCCACCATCTCATGATTGTATGTGTGTGGAGTGATGCCATGTAGGTCAGTCTATGTGAGTCAGTCTATGTGAGTCAGTTCGTTATAAGACTTCCACTGCATAAAAACTCATCCTATATTGGTTGATTCTTGGTTCTGCCCATACTCATTGGAGTATGTAACAGCAGCTCTGTTTGACTATATAATATATATATTGGGTTCAGCCTCCTGATGAGTCGGTGAAACTCCGACGAAACAGTTTGTCACAGCCCCTCGTTTGTTGTCCTCTTCTCTCTCTCTGCCTACGATTTACCGGGCAGTTCTGTTTGTGACGATATATATTGTATTTTATACTTATTTTTTGACCAAAAAACCCCAAAAATTTGGGCCGCGAAGTAGGCCTCGTTGGCCCCGGCCACAGCCGACTTTTCCGGTCGCGGCGGCCGATTTGCCTGCGGCCTAGGCCGCGGGTGTCACATAGGTTTGTTCTTAAGTGTTTTTATTCAGGGGAATTGAAAAAGATGTCATGGGACGGGTATTCCTGACCGTCAATCCTTCTAGGTGGAAGTAATCAATGTTGTCGCTGGGTCTCCTGTCGGTATCTAGCGGAAGCGTTGAGTGCGTGTCACTTTTGCTTCTATTTGCTGGCAGAAAAGAAACTGCACGGTTGCTCTTCAGAATAAAATAGAGACCAAAGGTTCCTATTTGGTTTCCAGAAAACAGTATCTTGATCTCTGTTCAAGGCTTCAAGGCATTGCATATCTGTGCGAGTCGTTTGTCTTGATTTCCTCACTGTTACATCATGGCTGACCCCTCCCCCGTTTTCTTTGTCTCTTCTTTGCGCCATCTGTCAAGATGGCAGAAAGGGAAGGTGACTGGGCAGAAACCAGGGTGAGCTATGTTGAGCGCCAGACCTTAAGACAAGGCACATGGGCTAGCAGTCCGGCTGTTCGTCTCTTTCCATGTATGGGCGGTTTATCCCTGACTGAAAAATTGGTGTTCATTCATTCTCAAAACCGATCCTTGATGAAGGAGCTTTGGTGCTTGGATTTGCAGGCCGACGAGGATTCGGAGATTTGATAGTGGCGTTATTGTGATTCAGCCCAAGTCACACAGTGATGAAAAGGTTAGTATGCTCTTACATTTAGTCTTATGAAGTGAATGATCTCATGGATGCCGGCTGACAGCCAGAGATCCACAAAAAAACATTTGCTTGTGGTATTGCCCCTAATACACATGGGGTTATGAATGGTGATTGCATGATGTCATACATGATATTTCTGAGAAGAGAGTGTGTGCTTACATCTCTGTGTGTGGGTGGGGGGATAGATAGATAGATAGATAGATAGATAGATTAATAAGTAGGTAGGTAGGTAGGTAGGGCGGGAGGGAGGTAGGGAGGCAGGGAGGCAGGGAGGCAGATAGATAGATAGATAGATAGATAGATAGACAGACAGACAGACAGATAGACCGACAGATAGCCAGACAGCCAGACAGATAGAGAGGTTGAGAGATAGAGAGATAGAGAGATAGACAGACATATAGAGAGACAGACAGCCAGCCAGCCAGCCAGACAGACAGACAGACAGACAGACAGGCAGGCAGATGGACAGACAGGCAGATGGACGGACAGGCAGGCAGACAGACAGACAGGCAGACAGCCAGATAGACAGATAGATAGACAGACAGATACATAGAGAGATAGACAGATAGATAGATACATAGAGACATAGATACATAGATAGATACATAGATAGATAGATAGATAGATACACAGAGACATAGATACATAGATAGATACATAGAGACATAGATACATAGATAGATAGATAGATAGATAGATAGATAGATAGATAGATAGACAGATAGATAGATAGATAGATAGATAGATAGATAGATAGATAGACGGGCAGAGGCAGACAGACAGACAGACAGACAGACAGACGGGCAGACGGAGACAGACAGACGGACAGACGGACAGACCGAGACAGGCGGACGGACGGGCGGACGGACAGACAGACAGACAGACAGACAGACAGACAGACAGACAGACGAGACCGGACAAGACAGACAGACAGACAGACAGACAGACAGACAGACAGACAGACAGGCAGAAAACAGACAGACAGACAGACAGACAGACAGACAGACAGACAGACAGACAGGCAGACAGGCAAGACAAGACAAGACAGACATACAAGATAAGACAAGACAGACAGACAGACA